GAATGAATAGTAACTTTAATCACACTACTGCACACACAATTTACATAAGATCTGAAAGCTAAAATACAAATTTTCTGCCCTTTAATAAAAATGTATGAACTATTAACATGAACCTGTAAGAACTGAGGTCTAAGTTAATATATAAAAACTTCACTTATATTTTATTGAATGTTTAGAAGCTTTTTAAAAAATGTACTATTGCCCTGACAAGTGTGGCTCAGTTGGTTGTGCATCATTCCTTAAAGTGAAAGGTCGCCAGTTTGATTCCCGGTCAGAGCACATTGCCTGAGTTGTGGGTTTGGTCCCCGGTTAGGGCATGTGCAAGAGGCAACCAATTAATATTTCTCTCTTACACTGAAGTTTCTCTTCCTCTCTTTCTCCTTCCCATCGCCTCTCTCTAAAAATAAATAACATCTTTTAAAGAATAAAATTGTTTAAATGTACTATTAAAACCAATAGGAATGAATTAGTTCAACTCTCTGTCATGGTGGATGAGTGGTCACAGAAAATGCAAAAGGCAAGCTTTTTTTTTTAATAAAATATTTTATTTATTTATTTTTAGAGAGAGAGAAAGGGGGGGAGAAAGAGAGAGGGAGAGAAACATCAATGTGTGGTTGCTTCTCGTGTGACCCTTACTTGGGGACCTGATCTGCACCTAAGCATGTCCTCTGACTGGGAATTGAACTAGCAACCCTTTGCTTTCCAGTCCATACTCAATCCACAGAGCTACAACAACCAGGGCCAAAGGACAAGCATTTATTTGGGAAGGCCTCAGCAAATGCTACACCAGAGGCTCACAGAAGCCCAGTGGGTACAAAGAAAACCATGCGAGGTGCATCCCTTGGAAACTTTAGAACACTGGAGTAAAAGGAGGAGCTCCTGCCAGTTTTTGGAGAAGAGAACAGGTCACAGCTGATGAAGACTAACAATGATTTTGTATTTTGCAACAATAGACTGAGGTCCAGAAACCAATGGAGCAAAGTCTTCAAAATTCTGAAGGAAAAGATACGCAGTGCTGAATTCTAGCTAATCGAACTACCCAGAAAGTGTCAGGGCAGAAAAAGACATTTATAGACATGACAAGCTACAAAAAATGAACTCGCGTGCATTCTTCCTCAGGAAGCTACTGAAAGATGTGTGCCACCAAAAGAAGGGAGCAGACCAAGCAGGGAAGCCACAGGAGACATGCAGCCAGAGTTCGGGGGCTTCACAGCAGTGTGAGAGCTAGGTGCCTGGCACTCTAGGATGGAGGTCACACAGTCCAGAAAATGGTTTCATTTTCCAGAAAATGAAACCTTGACATTGCCTGATGAATCGGAAAGTCTTGTGAAGAGATGCAGACCACTGGAAGAGGGCTGAGATTAACTGAAATTAAACAAAGCTCTGAATCAATAAATACCAGGAACAGATTGCCTAGGAAAGCAACAGCTGTCGTAATTACGACTACATGGACCAATAGGACCAATGGTGAATACTGCTTAAGGATGTAAACACTGATTATTCCTGTGACCTAAATGACTCTGCAACTCTACTGGGAAGTCAGGGAATGAAAAGGCAGTGAGATGGCTAATTGGAGTGGTGAGTTTCACCCTCACTCTTTATAGGAGGAACTCAAAAAATAAGATCTAAAATTAAAAAGTCAAGAGAAAGAAATACAAACCCGTGACTTGGAGACATGGAAGCAAAAAGACCAAATAATCAGCTATAAGAAGAGAAAGCACTTACTTTTGAAGAGGGGTGGAAGAGGAAGGGGGTGACCGAAGCCCCTGTTTTCCATAGTAAACGTTGTAGTTTCATTAAATTGAATGCATGTATTGCTTTGATAAAATTTAATTCTAAAAATAGAAAAGAATAAACTCTAGCCCTGGGTGGTATAGCTCAGTGGATTGAGCGCAGGCCTGTGAACCAAAAGATCACGGTTTGATTGCCAGGCAGAGCACATGCCTGAGTTGCAGGCCAGTTCCTAGCAGGGGCCAGTTCCCAGCAGGGGACACACGAGAGGCAACCATACATTGATGTTTCTCTCCCTCTCTCCTTCCCTTCCCTTCTAAAGATAAATAAATGAAAATTAAAAAAAAAAAAAAAAAAGAATAAACTCTAAAAAAGTCAAAGGAAAGAAATAATAAAAAGCAAAAATTAATGAAATGGGTCAAGATAAAATAGAAAGGATCAGCTAAGTCAAATCTTTATTTATTTTTTTTTTTAAAGATTTTATTTATTTATCTTTAGAGGGGAAGGGAAGGAGAGAGGGAGAGAAACATCAATGTATGGTTGCCTTTCATGCATCCCCTGCTGGGAATGGCCTTTCCCGCCGTCTCCCTGAGCTACACCGCAGGGCCAAATCTTTATTTATTTAAAAAGCCTACTAAGGTGGACTTCCGCCAAGATGGAGGCATAGGTGAAGACACCGTGCTTTCTCACACAACCAAGTTTAGAGACAACTAAATATTAGCAACAGAAAACACAGCCAGAACACAGAAAATTGAACTTTTCGGAAGTCTGATAACAACAAATTCTTCAGTCTGACCAGTAAGAGGGGCGAAACCAGCAGCTGGCAGAGCAGGGTTGCACAGGAAAACTCAGTCAGACGAACTCAGGCGTGCGGAATCCAGGCGCGGGGTTGGACCTAGTGAGCAACACGGCGAGTGACCTCGGGGAAACAGTGAGAGCAGGGCTGCGGGTTGACTGTGGATGCGCATTCGTGCCCGGATAGACAAGCGAGGGAGTGGGCGATTAGACGGGACCCAGCAGGCCCTCAGCAGCAGCAGAAGGCACCGCCATTTCCGCGCTCTGACCCCGCCTCCACATACAGCATCATAACCCAGCGACTCTGAGTGGGCCCAGGGGAACCACCTAAGGCGCTGCTCCTCACCCAGTGGCGCGAAACAGCAGAGGGGGCCGTCATTTCCCCGCTCTGACCACGCCCCCACATACAGCATCACAAACCAGCGACCTGGGAGACCTGGTTTGCTCCTCACACTTAAAGGGCACGAACAGACCAAAAATGGCTCAAGATCTCAAAGCCCTGGAGCCTATAAATCTAAGCATTGAAGAAACAGTAAAACTCTCAGACACACAGTTTAAAACACTGGTGATCAGGATCCTCACAGAACTGGTTGATTATAGCCACAAATTAGAGAAACATATGAAGGCGAAACTAATTGAAATGAATGGAATTGCACAGGAAACCAATAGCGATGAAAAGGAAACTGGAACTCAAATCAATGGAGTGGACCACAAGAAAGCAAATAATGGCCAAACAGAAAAGAGTGAAGAAGCAAGAATTGAAAAAAATGAGGAGAGTCTTAGGAACCTCCAGGACATCTTTAAACGCTCCAACATTTGAATTATAGGAGTACCAGAAGGGGGAAAGGAATAGCCACCAGTGGAAAACTTATTCAAAACAAATAAGAAAGGAGAATTTCCCCAATCTGGCAAAGGAAATAGACTTCCAGGAAATCCGGGAAGCTCAGAGAGTACCAAACAAGTTGGACCCAAGAAGGAACACACCAAGGCAAATCATCATTACATTAGCCAAGACTGGAGTGAAGGAGAGAATCCAAGAAGCAGCAAGAGGTAAGGGGACTGTCACTTACAAAGGAGTTCCCATCAGACTGTCAGCGGATTTCTCAAAAGAGACCTTACAGGCAAGAAGGGGCTGGAAAAGAGGTATTCCAAGTCATAAAATCCAAAGACCTACAACCAAGATTGCTCTATCCAGCAAAACTTTCATTTAGAATGGAAGGGAAGTAACTGAAAGTGGGGTAAGAGCTGAGCCAGCAGCACTGTTGCCTCTCAGACCCCTCCCACACGTACAGCGAGACAACACAGCAAAGTCATTGCCCTGCCCTAGCAATATCTAAGGTACCACTCTTAGAATGTAATGGGTGCCACCCTGACAAAGAAATATGACCCAAATGAAAGAACAGATCAAAACTCCAGAAGAACAACTAAGAGAAGCGGAGGTGTCTCCTCCTTTTTTGTTCTAACACTGCTTGTGCACTGTAATGCAGAAAGAAATATTAAAATGCCTTAGTTTGGTTGTAATAAAACATACAAATTCAGAAGGATATTAGAGTTCAGACATTTAAATTCCATAACAGATTGGGTCCCAGACATTCCAGGTATATAGTTACTTACTGTAGGATATAAATTTCTGCCTACTTCACTGAGCTACTGTGAAACGTCAGTAACAGAAGTTTTTTAAAGTACATATAAATACTGGATAGCCTGCAAATGTGGCAATGAAACTGAAATGTTGTAATGTCCTGGAGAAGGCACTAAATTCCAGAGAACGTTGTAGGGCAAAAGAGGCATACCCCACCCCTGCTCCCAAGTTCCTAGATCCAATGGGCCCCTCGAGGCAAGTGACAGCCACTAAATGGTCAGGCACTCTATGTCGCTGGCAACAAGTCCATGCCACCCACCAGGTGTCACACATCATGCTGGGCATGACCCAGCAGCATTCTCGCCGGTGCTCTCAGCCACATACGGAGCTGCAGAAAGTGGAGAATAATTATATGCTGGCTGAATGTGCCCATGTGCGAATGAGCAAAGAAGGAGATGGCCAAAGGAATGCACAGCTAGAACAGGATCAGCCTCAGAGGGCGCACGATGACTGGCCCTTAGCCTTAAAGAAGCAGGCCTGCCATGCATCCCCAGTGTGGCCCCTCCTCCCTAGAGAAGCAGGGGTTGGGACCACACTGTCACACAAGCAGAGGATGGGACCACAGGACCTGGTGGGGCAGCTGCCCAGATTACATGTGAGGTCTTTCCCAAACAAGACAATTCACCCATGCCAGGTAGGGAGAGAAAAAAAAATCCTGAAGGGGAGGGTCTAGGGAAGAACAAATTGCCAAAAGGGAGTGGCATATGCCTGTGGGGACAAACGTGGCAGCAAGGTATGAGGCAAACAGAAGGGAATAGATGCTCCTTTCTCCGGCCACAGTCCTGGTGCATTTCCCGAGTCCCCTTGGCACCCCCCACACGCAGGGCCTTACCCAAGCAGAAGCCTCGGGAGGTGACCTCCGGTGTCCATTCTTCCCCTTTTCCCAGCTGGGCAAACGGATCTGATTTGGGTCCTAAGAGCCCTGTTTTTGAGGGGGAAAAAACGGACCACATCTGTTCATGCTACAGAAAAAAAAATCAATGCAACGATGAGATCTAGTTCTTGGAACCTCCAAGAAAAGGGGACAGGGTAGGAAGGCCTGGGGTATAAAGGAGTTAAGAATTAAAAGATGGCTTAGGCCTGAGGCACAGTGTGTTCCCACGTCCTCTGCCAAAGGGGGTGCATTCAACCTGATTCATCATAAACTCCAAGAGTCCTGTGCCTGGGACACCAAGGAGTGGCAGGTCACACACTTGAAAGTAACATTTTCAGTTGGCCTGCACCCAGCGCCATCTGCTGTGTGCTACCAGTCCGAGGCACCAGAGAGCAGTCCAGGAGAAAGATGAGCCTGCGGGGGCGCCTGCCACACTTACCAAGCGAGGCCAGGTGGCTGCAGTTCTCCAGCATAACATCCCGGTACAGGCGCCTCTGCGAGGGGCTCAGCTGGGCCCACTCCTCCTGGGTGAACAGTACGGCCACATCCCTGAGGGTCACCAGTTCCTGTAAGGCAAGCCACCCCTGTGGGCTAGGGCCACCCCTTCACAGGGCACATTCTAGTGCCCAGTTTAGGTCTCTTTAATGGCAACCAAGCAACAAAGGCTTTGAGGAGAAGGTAGGGGAAGAGAAATATTAGGTAGGCCGAAAAATCCATTTTGTCTTTTATGTAAAAAAAAAAAAACAACACACACACATTTTTCATTTTCACCAATAACTTTATTGATTTGGATATTCTGAGTATGTTGCCTATGTCCCATGTGTTAGAACACTGATTGTTCTCAATTAATGTGTTGACCTGATCGCCATCAACTTCTACCTGACTGTGGTACATCATCCAGCAAGAAATCTCTAGCACCATGGCAGACTCAGACACAGCACATTCACACTGTCATAAGCCAGGAGGAACGAATGGGGAGAAAGACCATGAACCACCCAGGGTTCCAGCACAGGGAAATAGAGCCTCAAAACCTCTGGTGGTAAAAACCTGTGAGGTTTGTGGTGGCAGGAGAAACTCCCAGTCTCATAGAGTTGGTTGGAGGGGTCCACATGATCCTACACAAGCCCACCCACCTGGGAATCAGCAGCTGAAAGGGCACAATCCACTTGTGAGAAGAGGGGTAAGTGACTGAAAGCAGGGTGAGAGCTGAGCCAGCAGCATTTTGGCCTCTCGGACCCCTCCTACACATACATAATTCAGTGTCCCACAACTTTGTGTCCCACAACTGAGTGGTACAACTCAGCCAAGTGGGGTACCCCACCCTGGCAAATACCTAAGGTGCCACCCTTAGAATGTAATGGGTGCCTCCCTGTCAAAGAAATATGACCCAAATGAAACAATAGACCAAAACTCCAGAAAAACAACTAAGAGAAGAGGAGACAGCCAACATATCGGATGCAGAGTTCAAAACACTGGTAAGCAGGATGCTCACAGAAATGGCTGAGTATGGTCCCAAATAGAGGAAGAAGTAAAGGCTATGAAAAGTGAAATAAAGGAAAATGTACAGGGAACCAAAAGTAAAGGGAAGGAAACCAAGACTGAAATCAAGGATTTGGAGCAGAAGGAAGAAAGAAACATTCAACCAGAACAAAATGAAGAAACAAGAATTCAAAAAAATGACAAGAGGCTTCAGAACCTTCAGGACAACTTTAAACATTCCAACATCTGACTCACAGAGGTGCCAGAAGGAGAAGAGGAAGAGCAAGAACTGGAAAACATCATGAAGGAGAACTTCCCCAATCAGGCAAAGGAAATAGACTTCCAGGAAGTCCAGGAAGCCCAGAGTCCCAAAAAGGACCCAAGGAAGCACACACCAAGGCACATCATAATTATGTTACCCAAGATTAAAGATAAGGAGAGACTCTTAGAAGCAGCAAGAGGAAAGGAGAGAGTTACCTACAAAGGAGTTCCCCTAAGACTCTCAGGTAATTTCTGAAAAGAAACCTTACAGGCTGGAAAGACGTATTTAAAGTCATGAAAGGCAAGGACCTACATCCACGATTACTCTATCCAGCAAAGCTATCATTTAGAATGGAAGGGCAGAAAAAGTGCTTCCCAGATAAGGACAAGTTAAAGGAGTTCATCATCATCAAGCCCTTATTATATGAAATGTTAAAGGGACTTATCTAAGAAAACGGAGATGATCAAAAATATGAACAGTAAGACGACATCGAACTCACAACTATCAACAACCAAACCTAAAAAAAACAAACTAGGCAAACAACTAGAACAGGAATAGATTCACAGAAATGGAGATCACACATGGAGGGTAATCGGGGGGAAGGGAAGGGCAGAGAATGGGGGGGGGAAGTACAGAGAATAAGAAGCACAGTTGGTAGATACAAAATAGACAGGGGAGGTTAAGAATAGTATGGGAAATGGAGAAGCCAAAAAACTTATGTGTATGACCCTTGGACGTGAACTAAGTGGCCAGGGGGGCAGGGGGGATGCAGGTTGGAGGGCAGTACAGTGTGGAGGTGGAGAAAGGGAAGAAATGAGTGGGACAACTATAATAGTATAATCAATAAAATATACTTTAGCCCTGGCAGGTGTGGCTCAGTGGATTGAGCACAGGACTACAAAGCAGAGGGTCACTGGTTCGATTTCCAGTCAGGTCACATGCCTGGGTTGCAGGCCAGGTTCCCCAGCGGGGAGCACAAGAGGCAACCATACATTGATGTTTCTCTCCCTCTCTTTCTCTCTCCCTTCCCCTCTTGTCTAAAAATAAATAAATAAATAAATATCTTTTAAAAAATAAAATATACTTTAAAAAAATCTCTAGCACGAAACACATTCAATCAGCCACAGCACCTTCTCCATGCAATGCACAAATCTTTTTCTGCATTTCAGTTGTGTTTTCACCTTTCTTGAAATAATAAAGCATCACATGCTGAAAATGTTGCATATTTTCTTCCACCTTCAATGTTAAAATGGCTGCACAAAAGTTCACCAATTTTGGTAAGTTTTTCTAAATGCACACTGATATGACAGCTGCTACCATACAATCTAACAAAATTTTTTCAATCTAACAAATTTTTTTCAAATGAAGTTAAAAACAAATAAGTGCTACTACAGCCATCTTATGGAAAAAAACAAATGAACTTTTTGGCCAACCCAGTATCACAGTGGACTGGCACTGCGGAGACCTGCCAGAGAGAAAAGGTGGTGCCTGAGACAGGTGCCCGAGGACAAGTCAGACACTGGGAGTAGGAGGCAAAGTAGCTGGTGGGCCATGACTGGGTTGTACTCCGCAACTTCATCCAGCTGCTCATCCCTTTCCATTATTTCTACCAAAGAGTCCTGCCCTGGACAGGGTTCAATGTGAAGGAGTTAGAACAACTCTACCAACTCATCAGAATTTATACATTCGAATGAATGCTGCCCCTTCAGGGAGAAGCCCATTCCCTTATTCTACAGAGGCTGGCTCTGCTCAAAGCTTTTAGTAAATTACTGAAATAACGTAATCTTTTTTAAAAGTAAAATATTTTTGTAGTTACAGTTGACATACAATATTATATAGTGATTATACATTTATATGACTTACCAACTGATCCCCCTGATCAGTCTAGTACCCATTTGGCACCATACACAGTTATTATAATGTTATTGACTGTATTCCCTGTGCCATACATTTTACATGCTGATGACTATTGTTAACTGCCAATTTGTACTTCTTAATCCTTTTTCCTTTTTCACCCATTCCCCCAAACCCCTTCCCATCTGGCAACCATCGGTTTGTTCTCTGTTTTTAATTCTGTTTCTGTTTTATCTGTTTGCTTATTTTGTTCTTTAGATTCCACATATAAGTAAAATTATATATTTGTCTTTCTGTGACTGACTTATTTCACTAAGCATAATACCTTCTAGGTTCATCCATGTTGTTCTAAATAGTAAGATTTCATTATTTTTCATGGCTGAGTAATATTCCACTGTATATGTATATATGTGTGTGTGCATGTACCACATTTTAAATGATTTCATTGGTATGCAACAGCCCTCTGAGGTAAAAAGCCATACGTCATTATCTAAAAAGAAAAGAAGAGTCCAGTAAATCACACCTACCCAAACAAGTGTTCTGATCTCTCCTCTTGCCTCCTGTCTTAGGCACCACCTTTTACCACTTTACATCCCTAATCTAACTTGCTAGTGGGAAGAGTGCAGGTTTCTATTTTGGACCAACCTGGGTTCCAGTTCCAGTTGTCACTTATGTGACCTCTAACAACTTTCTTAGCCTGGATGACACTCACTAAGATGAGCCTGGCATGGGGGAAAGTGGAGAAAGTAGTGACTGAGTCAGGCTTCTTTATGAGAATGGATTGGGAGAAAAACTACTGGTCAAGAAACAGCAACGTGCCACGCTCCCCAAACCAAGCACACCCCAGCAACCCCCACTCACCTGGACTGTGGTTGGCAGGTGCCTGACAGCCATTTCTTCTCTAAAGAGCCCTCTTAGGAACAAGTAGAGTCGGAGTCCTCTGGCAGAAAATTTCACACACCTGTTGTGGTGAGAGGACTGGATCAGAGGCTAGGACACAGCAGTCCACAGTGAGGCTGTGAGAGCATTCGCATCCTGAGGAACCTGCAATACCCCAGCCATGAATTCACAGTCCCTACCTACTCCCAATACTCTGTCCTCCTGAGAGCATGTCTGCTGGCCATGTCTGAGTAAAGGGAATCACTCACCATTCAGCTCCCTGCCCCCACTTTCCAGTAGCTGTAGCATGAGTCAAACCCCCACATCTCCCCTTCCATATCATAAATACACTGCCTCCTCCTTGCAGACGGCCCTCTCCAGCCACTGCTATCAAGCTCCCTGCCCACTTAAGTCACGCTGAGTGGTCTCCTCACTGGACCGCTGCCTAATTCTGGGAGGTGGGGAGGTGTAGAAGGAGGGTGGCCCTGTTTCTGCTCAGAATGACTGGATCTTCACGGTCAGGCTCTCAAGCCAAGCCCTTCTCTGGCTTCAGGCCTAGCCTCCTCAGAGGCCCCAGTCTGGGTGACCCGGGAGGGAAAGGTGTGCAAGCAGTGTACTTGTATGGGAGAGGCGGGTCAAGGAGGGGTGGGGAGTCTTCCTCGAAGCACGTCCCGCGGTCCGCCCCACAGCCCTCCAGAGGGCTCCACTTGAGTTCACAGCCTTACCCGTAGCACCCTCTACCCCCCGGGCGTAACCGGCTCCCCGGTGCACGCTGAAGCCCTACCCCTCCTGGTCCGCAGGCATTCGCATGCTCTGTCCGAACCCCGACAGACTCATGGTCGTCCCTTTTCTCTTGGGATCCAACCTCAGCTTTAGATCCCGGGAAGTTTGGGGCATCCAAGCAGCGTCCTCCAGATGGGAGCATGCCTCAGACCTACCAGGCTTTCCCCTCCGCCCTTCTCCCAGAGCGCCACCGCCCACGGCCACTCTCGCCCTCCCGATGAGGCTCTGGACACCGTGCCTGGTCACCAAGGCGTTTCCCCTCGAGGAGCCCCTGCCGGCAGCGATAGACCGCAGCCGCCACATCGCCGACAGAACACAAAGAACTGGAGTCTGCAGCCCGGTCTGAACTGCGCTTGCGCATTGCCTAGTGCTCCGCAGAGCCGAATTCCCACAAATTCCAGGGCTCCCACGTTCTGCTTTCCCGGCCACTTCCCATTTGGCAAAAGTGCTGCGAGCGTTCGCGTCTGCGGGAGACCTAGAAAAGTACTGCGCCCCGGAACAGATACTGCCCTTCCCTGAAACCCCGCCCCCCGCCCTCCGCCAGGTTTAGAGTCTTTCATATGGAAACTACATTTCCCAAGGGCCTCTGCGCGGCGTGCTGGTCCACTCAACATATAACTCCCCAAGTGCTGACTTGGAGTGGTGGTCTTGGTTCCCTTCTGACTGGGACGGTCTCTGCCTTGAAAAAACGCCCAAGGAGATAGATACTAGTAAATTGACGGTGGAATAAGAGAGACTCCTGATGGCGCGGCTCCTGATCCGGTGAGGAGAGCGGATTGAGAACAGCCCCAGAGGACAGAATAGGACGCTACAAGCTGAAAAGGAAACACGGAAGACCGTGCGGAGGACGTGAAAAAGAAGCGAGAACGCTCATCGTCCCCGTCTCCGGGGACGCAAACAACACCAAGTGTGGCCGGCAGAAGTTTGGCGAGAAGTGGGGAGCGGGATGGTCAGCGGCTGAAGGATGCTGGCTCAGGACCTGGGTGGTGGCCCCAGGCACCGCCCGTGGGTAGCATAGAGCAGGTGGAATAGACTTGGCCCTGGACAACTTCTCCGGAGAGGACGGAAGCTGGATGCCAAGGAGGCCGGCCCTCCTGGGACACTGGCTGGTATTTGTTGTTGCCGACAGGGCTTTGCCTTAGAATATATATTTTCAGGAAGACGAGAGGGTTTTAATTTTGTCGGTGGTGAAAAATACTCGTGACCTGGGGTTTGTCAGGAAGCAGTGTCAGTGACTTACGCGAAACTACCGCATTGCCTGGGGTTTTCTGAAGGTGTTTCATTGTGTAGCCACTCGGAGCACTTAATGTGTCAGGCACATTTTCTAGGGGCTGAAAACCCTTCGCTTGTGTAGCTTTAATTCTATTCGGGGAGGAAGCCAGTAAAAATATGAGGTACTGATGACAGTGAAGCTGCGATGAGGTTTTTAGTATGACCGGTTGGGGATTGTTTTAAGTGGCGTTTTGGGGAGTTCTCTGGAAAAATAACTGGAGCAGAGATTGGAACACAGTGAGGGAGGGAATCACTGAATACTTTGGCAGGCGGCCGAGCCCTTGGAGGAAGAAGGGACAGGAATGCCTCTAGGCCCGTGCGACTGGAGAGAACCTGGGGACAAGGGGGAGCAGAGGGGAAGCAGGCCCCAGGGTAACTAGAAGCCTTGAAGACCATTGCAGGCTTTAGTCTGTGTGTGATGGGAAACCATTGCAGGGGTTGGCTGGGCACACTGACAGAATCACTGGTCGGCTGAGTGGGGCCAGAGGGAACACAGGGAAGCCAGTTAGGAGGCTATTACTCTCAGTGCCATAACCTTTTCACGACTTATGTTTTGAGAGCCTAGTCGTTCTGAGATAAGTAGGGGTTCTGGATGCCACGTTAAGGAGTTGGGATAGTATTGTTTTCGGGTCCATGAGTGATAACATTTTTTGTGCACTAACTACACGTTAGGCACATTGATAAGCACTTTACATCAGTTATCTATTGTCCTATCAACAATGAGAAAACCGAGGCACTAATGGTAAGTGCCTTGTGAGGGTCTCAAATCTAGTACGTGGAACCAAGAACCCTGCACCTGTTGATGGAGGGCAGATGTAAAGGTTTGTCCTCATTACTTGCTGCCCAGGATGGCTGAGAACTGACATGCAGGGTCTCAGGCTTCCAGAACTCCTGGAAAGTTAGTGAAACCTCCATTGATCTGGCCCAAGGGTCCTGGTGCTCCCTCTACAGATTAGTTTTACTGCTTTTGAGTTATTGCATCCATCTTATGCTTCAGTAACTTCATTCTTCCTCTCCCCCTTGTCCTGTGCCTTACCTTTGAGCCTTTGTTGTTCTCTCAGTCTTCTATTTTCTACTCATTTTTTCCTCTGCCTTTCTTCCCTTCCATTTCTCTCTTGAGGTGAGGTGAGGTGAGGTGAGGTGAGGTGAGGTGAGGTGAGGTGAGGTGAGGTGAGGTGAGGAACAAGAAAAAGATGAAGAGAAAGGAAACTGAGTGTAACATAGAGATTAAAAATCTGTGTCTGACGATAGTTTAATTTTCATTCCTCCTTGGTCTTTAGTGTTCGAACTCCATGCCTGAAGCATACGTCACATACCCCAAGGAGACTGAACTGCCCAAGGTCCCAGCACTGTCCTTACACTAAAATTCTTTTACTTCTGTGTCAACATGTGCTCCTGATTTTTGTTTTTTGTGTTTCTTCTGGCTGTATTTCTCCTCCACTTCTACTGATTGCACCACTTAACCCCATTCAGTGACAGTACAGTAGTCCTCCCTTATCAGGGAATACGTTCCAAGACCGCCAGTGGATGCCTGAAACCAAGGACAGTACTGAACACTATATAAACTATGTTTTCACCCATAAATACTATGATAAAGTTTTATTTATAAATTAGGCACAGATTAACAATAACAAAAAAAACAATTATGTCACACGAATGTGATCTCTCAAAGTATCTGACTGTACTGTACTCACCCTTCTTGTGATGATGTGACAAGATACAATGGCTACATGATAACAGGGAGTATGGTGGCAATGTAGTGGGATAGTACGAGTTCATCACACTACTAAGAACAGTGCACAATTGAAAGCATGAATTGTTTATTTCTGAAATTTTCCATTTCATATTTTGGGACCCAAAGTTGACTATGGGTAACTGAAACCATGAAAAGCAAAACTGTGAATAAGGGTGGGGACTACTTAACTCTTAGAGCACCCTCAAATCACTGCCCCACTATTTACTCTACAGCCTATTGGGAAACTTCACTTGGATATCCACAGACTCATCAAAATGCCCACAGACTGAACTTATCATTGCCCCACAAAATTGGTCAACTTTATATTTTTAATTATGGCATGCCTATACATCCAAATAAGAAATTCAAGTGCTCACATTTAATCAGTTACCACATTATCTACATTGACTCATTTTTCGCTTGAATTTTTCCCTTCCCATCCCACTAGCATTTTCTCAGTTTAAACCTTAGAAAGCAAGAATATATCATATTATTTTTAAGATTTTATTTAATTTTTAGAGAGGGGAAGGGAGGGAGAGAGGGAGAGAAATATCAGTGTGTGGCTGCCTCTTGCACACCCCCTACTGGGGACCTGGCCCACAACCCAGGCATGTGCCCTGACTGGGAATCAAACCTTTGACTCTTTGATTCACAGGCTGGCACTCAACGACTGAGCCACACCAGCCAGTGCTATAGCACATTCTTTGATTTTCTAATCATCTTAGCACATATTTAGCACTTATTGAATGTATGTGAAATAAATAAAAGTTGTTCTACTATCATATCTATAGAACTATAAAATCTCTGTAAGATTGTTCTGAATATGTTTTGAGTTACAAAGACTTTCTTAATATGTCAATTTTTCATGTCTTAGTGTCTAGCCTATTCTTTCCATTTCAATACAGTATGATACAAAGATACGTATTTGAATCCTATGTAAACACTATATTTAAAAATAATTAGCTTATTTAACAATTTAATAGCTGTTGAGAACTCAAAACACCATGCTGTTGCATTAAGATTTGTACAGGTATCCCAGCATCTGTTAGCAACCAGCCTGTATTTTAGGCGACAGAATAATGCAGGGAGAAGGGGGAACATGGAGAAATAAAAAGTTTGGTAGAGGTAGAGAATTTTAACACACAACACTGAGGGAAACTAGGTTGTAAAACAGGGGCATCTAATAACATATATAACATGGTAAAAGATTAAGGATGTCCCAGCATTCATTATATTTATAGGTTTGTTGCTTTGTAGAGCTCACAGGGATCCTGAAGACTTTCTAAATCCAAAAACCCTTTTACCAAATAAGGACATTGTGACCTGGTAAGAGTAGGTGACTTTTCCAAGTTAGTGACAGATCAGAGTACATTCCAGATCTTTCAGCTGTCCAGTGAAGCACTCTCACATTTCCTCTCCACTGTGAAGTCTCTGATAACTAAAGGAGAATCTGCAATATGATATAACAGAACTTATCTTCAGCATGAATCCTTGTTCTTTAGAATATTAAACCTTCTGATACAAAGTTTTACTTTCTGAATTAAGATTTTCCACTTTTTTATGGTTTCTCTGCAATGGTCTGTATCATCTGACATGATACAATATACATCAACCAAAAGATTCCCAAAATGTTCACATTTATTCAATTTCTACATTACATGACTTATCTAATTATCACTGAAAAGTTAACCATGGTAAAGGGCCTGATGAAAACTTTCCTCACGTATGAGTTCTCTGATGTCGTGTAAGGTTTGTACTCCGACTGAATGCTTTCCCACATTCATTACACTGATAGGGTTTCTCTCCTGTATGAGTTCTCTGATGTACTGTAAGGGACGAATTCTTAATAAAGGCTTTGCCACACTGATCACATTCATAGGGTTTCTCACCAGTATGAATTCTTTGATGCTCAATAAGGTATGCACTCTGGCTGAAGGCCTTTCCACATTCACTGCATTCGTAAGGTTTCTCTCCAGTATGAATAACCCGATGTACAGTAAGGGATGATCGCCCAGTGAAATGCTTTCCACATATAACACACTCATAAGGCTTCTCTCCAGTATGAATCCTCCGATGCTGAGTAAGAGATGAATTCTTACTGAAAGCTTTTCCACACTGATTACATTCAAAAGGTTTTACTCCAGAATGAAGTCTCTGATGTTCTATAAGGTATGTACTTTGGCTAAAGGATTTCCCACATTTGTTACATTTGTAGGGTTTTTCTCCAGTGTGATTTCGTTGATGCAGGGTAAGAGTTGAGCTCTTACTAAAGGCTTTTCCACATTCACTACACTCATAGGGTTTCTCTCCAGTATGACTTCTCTGATGTACAATAAGATGCATACTTTGACTGAAAGACTTCCCACATTCATTACATTCATAGGGTTTTTCTCCTGTATGAGTTCTTTGATGCACTGTGAGATTCATACTTTGGGTAAAAGCTTTCCCGCACTCATTACATTTGTAAGGTTTCTCACCAGTATGAATCCTTTCGTGTTGAATAAGGGATGAATTCTTACGGAAAGCTTTTCCACACTCTTTACACTGGTATGGTTTTTCTCCAGTATGAGTTCTTTGATGAACTGTAAGGTTCATGCTTTGACTGAAGGTTTTCCCACACTCATTACATTTGTAGGGTTTCTCTCCAGTATGAATTCTTTGATGTACAGTAAGGGAGGAGCGTTCAATGAAGTGCTTCCCACATACATTACACTTATAGGGTTTCTCCCCAGTATGAATCCTCTGGTGCTTAAGAAGGGATGAGCTCTGGCTGAAGGCTTTCCCACATTCATTACATTCATAGATTTTCTTTCCTATCAGCATTCTTTGAATCTTAATTAATTCAGAATTTTGTTTAATATCTTTTCCATGTGAATTTTGATAACAGGACCTTTTTCCCATAGGAATACTTTGTTGTATATCAATGATTGAACCCTGACTGGAACATCTTCCAAATTCATTACCTCTACATACCTTCCTCTCAGTGAGGGTTTCCTTATGGGTAATTGCCACTTCACCCAGATGTCTATCTGGGTTTTTCTGTTGCCCCTCTAACCAATTATCATGTTCCCAAGTCTCCCCTAAAGAAGAATGCCAGAGACCTTCCCTTTCCATTATTACCAGATAGGATAAATCTTCAGTAATGTTGGGCTTTGGAGTTGTCTTTTTGGTTTCAAGTCTTGTCTGCCAGTCTGTAAAACATAAAAAATTCAAATGCACATTGGTCTCTGTGCTGGGAGACTGAAAACTGTATAAGGTAGAAATGAGAATAAAGTTGAGAATATGTGGCACATTTGAGAGCTTTCAAAGATGAGAAAAGAGTGAGCCTATGCAGAAGGGACAGACACTGCAGTCACTGACAACTGGACAAGGATAAATAATGAAGAAGGAACTAAAGGAAAATATATAGAAGAACTGGGATTGGAAGAGCAGATCAGAAAAAAGCCCTGCCATGTTGTACCTAGTGTTCCTACCAGCTACTTCTTCCCACCTATAATTCTAATACTAAATCTTCAAAAATATCACAGTGTGAGACAGTGAAGATTGCAAATCCTGGAGTCAAAAAAATGGGTTCAAACCCTGGCAATGAATATTTACCATCTTAACTAGTTAGTTATTTCTTAACTAGTTACTTGTTTCTCTAAATCTGAGTTTTCAGATGTAAAATGAGGATAAGAACAATCTGATAAGGCATAATCTGCCCTTTGGGAACAAACGTGTCTGGAACATACTTGAAACTCAAACTCTTAAGGGAGGATAACACAATCCTAAATTTCAAGCAGGCTGTAATTTTCTCACAAAGGTTAAGAGAATCCTAGAGGGCCCTACACTTTCCTAAATACACATGCCTTAAAGTTGAGAATTAGTGGTGGAGGCAAGCAAGGGAGAGTGCTGAACTGCAGAGGGGACTAAAAGAAGAACCTTGTAGCCACTCAGACTTTATTTTCTCAGATCCCATCTTTTTATCCCAGACAAAAATGGCCTGGAGGCAATAAGAGGCAGAGGACAGGAACTATAATCTGAGAATATGCCTGTCCATTTTGATCAAAGTCAACGGACCAGATATCAACAGTGAAGCAACAGACCAAAGGCCTGTGGACAGGAGGCTTTACTGCAAAACAAAAGGCACCAATTAATTGGACCTCCTCCTTACAACCCGACCTATTTTCATAAAAGACAACAAAAAATGGAAAGCTAAGCAGATTCCACTTCTAAAACATACATACCACCAAGTTACCACAGAAAGGACCTATCCAATCAAATATGAAGATGACAGGCAACACATGAATTAGAAGTGTTCACTTGGCCCACTTCACTATCATATGCAACTGAAGTCTCTGAGAACATTTAAAGTGTCACCCATGATTCACTCACATTGTTAGACAAATATAAAGTCCAGACAGAATTACCTCCATCCAAGGATGAATGATACACAGAAAATACCAAGTTTAGAAACTATGTAGACTCAGCAGGGTATCCAAGCTTTTTGCATCTCTGGCCATGCTGGAAGAAGTTGTACTGGGCCACAATTAAATACACTGTGACACATAATCATAAAAAAAAATCTCATAATGTTTTCAGTAAATTTACAACTTTGTGTTGGGCCACATTCATAGCTGTCCTGAGCCACATGCAGTATGTGGGCTGCAGGCTGGACACCCTGAATTATAGAGGGTTAATAAATAAATCTTTAAAATAACAGAATGAGAAGAAAAAAGCAGCATAAGAATCAAAAGACATAAAAGTTTTTTAAAACTGGCAGGACAGTTTTTACATGCTAGGACAAGATACTTGTAACAATGACCCACAAAGAACTAGAACCTAGACTTGGAAAACAATGTCTATGGAACACTAAACTAGAAAAATGGGCAAAAGACTCAAATACGTACTGAAGAAAAGGAAGGCCACTATTAGGTGCACACATCTAGGTAAATCTAACTTGCAAAGTTATTCCATAATTTGTAATTTTAAAAGTAGCATTGCGCAATAGCAAAAAGTTAGAAATATAAATATCCAGCTATAATAGAATGGATAACCTAATTGTCAAACACTCATACAATGGAATAATTAACAACAGTGAATGTTATGAACTTCATATTTGTGTCTCCCCAAAATTCCTATGTTGAAGCCAAATTCCCAGTAAAACAGTATTAGGAGGTGGGGCCTTTGGAGGTCATTAGGTCATGAGGGTGGAGCCCTAGTGATGGGATTAATACCCTCATAAGAAGAGATGGGAGAACTTGCCTCCTGTCTCTCTGCTCTCTAGCATGTGAGAACACAGCAGGAAGTGCAGCTGTCCATCAACCAGAATGAAGGCCCACACCAACAACCCAACCTCGCAAGCACCCTGATCTCAGACTTACAGCCTCTGGAACAGTAAGAAATAAATGTTTGATTTTTAACCCACCCAGTTATGGTATTCTGTCATAGGAGTCTGAACTAAAACTAGTTGAAGTTAATAAACTAATGCTACATATATCAAAATGAATAAATAATTTAAACAAAGTTACAGAAAAATAAATGTATACAGAGTCCACTTAAATAAAGATTAAAACTAACATACTGCTGCCCTGGTTGGTGTAGCTCAGTGGATTGAGCGTGGGCCTACGAACCAGAGTATCACGGTTCAATTCCCAGTCAGGGCACATGCCTGGGTTGCAGGCCAGTTCCCAACAGGGGACACACGAGAGGCAACCACACATTGATATTTCTCTCCCTCTCTCCTTCCCTTCCCCTCTGAAGATAAATAAATAAAATCTTAAAAAAAAAACCTAACATACTGCTTACAAGTTCATTTATGGATGGCAATACTTTAACAAAAAGGGAAAAGAATGTTTATAAGTGAGAATGGTGGTTACATCCAAGGGAGAGAGATGAGAGTGTGTGAATGAGGAGCACACAAAGCGTGGCAAGGATACCAGTAATATTCTGTTTCTTATCAGGGTCCTAGGCATTCATTAGCCTTTATCATTATTACCTATAAGAAGCAGCAGTATGGCAGAATGGTTAAGACAATAACTCTAGAGCCATACTAGCTGGCTCAAATTTGAGCTCTATCACTGTTAGCTGTGTGACCTTGGGCAGGTTACCTAACACATCTGTACTTCAGTTTTTCTCACCTGTTAAGTGGTACCTATCTCACAGTGTTGATGTAAGAACAAAAATTAGTTAATATTTATAGCATTTATATTGGAAGAGTTTCATCAGGTTTTGTTAAATAATATATATTTTACACATTCTTATTCATATATAACATTTTTTAAAATGAGAACAGCCCAGGTTGGTGTAGCTCAGTGGATTGAGCACAGGCCTGCGAACCAAAGGATCGTGGTTCAATTCCTGGTCAGGGCACATGCCTGGGTTGCAGGCCAGTTCCCAGCAGGGGACGCATAAGAGGCAACCATACACTGATGTTTCTCTCCCTCTCTCCTTCCCTTCCCCTCTAAAGATAAATAAATAAAATATTTTTAAAAAATGAGAAGAACAAATATTTTCTATGTTGAAAAATATTAATCATTTTAAGTTTAAACATCATCATGTACTACAGAAAACTTAGTAGTAAGATTCATTTTATCTTGATGAAATTTAGAGACCTAATTTAAAAGTTAATTCTGAAGACCTGCTCCCTAATTAAAAAATCAATTACCTAAATTTTTTTTAAAAACTGGCTGATGTGACTCAGGAATTAAACTTGGCCAGTACTCTATACTTGTACAGAAAAAACTGAAGCACATTCTTATGTATGAAAGATTCAGTGATTACAGCACTCTTAAAGCAGTCCTGAAATATTAAGTATTCAGTTTACACAAAGGTTAGGGTTAGGGTTGAAAAAGTGACTGAAGCAAGGACTTTAGGGGCTGAGGAGGAGTCGCAGGCCGACTGAAAGGAAAGCAACCCAGACAGAGGACATGCAGTGTGGATGCCTCGGGAGCAGCGCTGGTCACCCTGGGCAAGGATGAACAAGCTTTTGGACACCACTACATTTTTACAGTCTTTTGTATCAGTTTTTCTATTAATGGAAGCAAAGACGTGTCTACTATACATTAGTGAGGTTCATGTTAGCATGAGGTAGACAGGGTCTCTGTAACAGGATATAAATTCTCTGTGTTGTGTACACACATACATACGTACACACACACATACACATAGTAATCCAGTACATCTCTAAGGATGATACAATATTGTTTATGAAACATAAACAACAAGTTTCTGGGTGCAGTGGTAGTTAACAGTAGCTTCCTGGAGAGCTTTAAATATTATAGACTCTAACTGCACCTTATTTTTTAGGCATGATGTTTGATAATAGATTTCTAACATAAATATATTTTTATACATGTTCTTAACTTTTGTTTCCTTCAAAAATGAGCCTCAACTGATTTAACTCTAATGACCACTGACTGAAAGCTAAAAATTTACTGTTTTCTACATTACTAATAATTTCCATCTTTATCTCAACATGAACTAGTTTACTAGCAATAATACTGTCTCCAAAAATAGCACTTCTAAATTTACATTTTGTACTCACCTTTGATAAAACAGCAAAATCTAATGAAGTATTCAACAACTGTACACATGAAAACTAGCACAGGAACAGAAAACAATCATCTAAAAAGAGTATCAGGCCAGGAAGTGGCCTATTTTTACTAAATACACTAGGAAACAAGAAGTCTCAGCAAGGTAAGGAAAGAAAATAATGATTTTTTAAAAATTAGTGTTAAACTCCAAGACAAAAACAAACAAATCAAAAAAGCCTGTGTTCAGATTCTGGCATGTGATTTTTGCCTCTCTGAGTTTATGTCTTCCCCTGAGAAAGGGGCTGAGATACCTACCCCACGGAATGCTGTGAGGAACACATCAGATGATGGCAGGCAAGGGCCGAGTGCAGCACTCAAGCAATGCTTTCTTGTCTCAGTTTTGGACAGCACAGCGAGACGAAACGGTGGCTTAATCCAACAGAAACATGGAAGAAATTCTGGAAGGAAGAGCTGCAGTTTGCACACCATTGTATGTACTACTCCACAAACTCAGTGTCTCCTTTGTAACACATACCTCTGCTCTTGTAAATACATTCAAGCCTCTTCCTGGGTGAAAACAAACCAGAGGCACCCTACCTATGACTTCTTTAAGATCTTGCCCTTTCTTCCTTTTCCTCAAAACTAATCTTGTTGAAATGACAGTCTGCTCTCAACCAAAACATGCCTCCCTCACACCAGAAGTGCTCCTCCCAGGGTCACGGACCACCTCTCTTTCCCTCTTGGCACTGGTACACTCACCCTCTACTTTTCTCTCTTCCTTGGTCCAGCTCTCCCCAAATTCCCTCCTCCTCTGACCACTCTTTGTCACCTTTGGTAAAGCACCCTTAGCTCCCAGCCAAACATTACTGTTCTCTGGGGTTTCGTCCTCACTGTTTTGCCCTATCATTCACTCTTTCTGATAATTAACAAGACAAATTGATATAAATGTCACACATATAACTCTCAAATCTGTCTTTTCACCTGGTTTCTAAAAATTCTACTGGATGTCATTCAGTAGTCACTCAACAAACATACAGTAACCACCTCTGGCAGGAAATGTGCTAGATAGAGATTACAAAGAGAAGTAAGCTTAATCATGACAACTCTGTGAGCCTACATACTAGTTGCTATGCAGATTTCCAAAGAGACAAGGAAAACAGAGTGAAATGCAGTCACAAACAAGTGAAGAATCTGTAGCATCCAGCCAGATGAAGAAGTCTAAAGACAGGTAAAGAAATGGGACAGGAAAACAAAGTACCAAGACTACATGTGTTTGCCTCTCCTGACAGTGGAATACTGAAAAAAGCCTATATAAGCCCATCAAAATGTAGGAAACAAGGGAAAAAATGCTAAATGCACAAACCCAAATAATTTAGATATCCTCATACAGAGAAGTTTATGAATGCATTAAAACAGACAGCTATTTATTGGGTTAGCCAAAAAGTCCATATGGCTTTCTCCATAAAATAAAAGACACTTTTCATTTTCACCAGTAACTTCGCTGATTTGGATGTTTTGAGTATGTCGGCTATCTCCCATTACTGGTTTCTAGTGGATAGAGGCCAGGGGTGCTGCTCAACATCTTCAATGGGTAAGACTGCCCCATAGAGAGTTATTTGACCAAAATGTCAATAGTACCAAGAAACTTCACAAACCACTTTTGGCACATTCCATCAGCTGTAGCACCTTCTCCATAAACTGCGCAAATCTTTTTTTTTTTTTTTTTTGCATTTCAGGTGCATTGGATATAACCTTTCTTGAAATAATAAAACATAATACACTGAAAATGTGTATCTTCTCCCATGTTTGGTATTAAAATGGCTGCACAAAAATTCACCAATTTTGGTATAAGTTTTTTTGGATGCACGCTGATATGACAGCTGTCATAGTACAATCTAACAAAATTGTTTCTAATGAAGTTAAAGACAACTAAGCACTACCAGAGCCATCTTACTAAAACTTTTTGTCCAACCCAATAAAAGAAAGAAGGAACACACAGAGAATGAGAAGGCTCACAGAAATGTAAAAAAAAAAAAAAAAAATACCGTAGAAATAAATTTTTTCACAGAAGGAAAGAAAGTTTAAGAAAATCTTCATATCTCCCTGCACTTTTCCCTTCAAACAATACCACGTAACCCCTGCAGGCAGGTCTTCGTCCCTGCTGTCCCCTGTGCCTACAGTGCTCCTCTCAGGGCCCATCAGTCACCGCAGAGGAAAGACCTCCTTGAAATAAATGTATTTATTTATTTATTTATCATATAAATATAATATGTATTTATACATTATAAATATTACACACACAGGCACGCGTGGCACTGTTAACACTTGCCGTTCCTGATGCTGCTGTGTCTCTCCCTGCAGCACCATGACTCTGCAACACTCATTTCCTCCCCACACCTTGCCTCCCTCTCCTGCCCCTTCCCCCTCCCTGCTGTTTTCCTTTAGTAATTTACTGTCTCCCTCACTAAACTATAAGCTCCACAAGGAAACTGCCTGTTTTGGTTACTGTTGTGTCTGCATTGCTAGGAACAGGGCCTAGTGCTCAAAAAACATCAGCTGAATAAATAGATTATTTATATAAGAGTAAGTACAAATAGCAATAGTAATCAAATCCACACAGATCTGTTATAAAGGCAATTAACACTCATGAAGAGATCATTTTATACCTAATAAATTAGCATTAAAAAGCATAGTATTCAAAGCTGTGCAATACGTAGCAAGGGCCCTAAAAAGGTAAGTATCCTTTGACCAGTGATTCTTCTAGAATCCCATTCCTTAGAAAGCACACTGGAAACCAGCAACAATGTTCATTAGATTATTTTCTTTCCTATCAATATGTTCTTTCACTGACTTTTTAATTGCATTATATATTCATAGCTGTACACTAACCAGAGATCAAAAATTACTTGCTTACCTCATAATTTTAAAAATATATAAAGAGAAGTGGTGACCAACACTTTCACACTGAGCAGAGCACATATAAAGGTGTAGAACACATTTTTTTCACAGAAAGTGAGTAATAACATCTGAAAGAGACATTTCAGTTATGAAGGGGATTAGAAACCAGATAATAAAGATTAAGTTTTTAGAGAGGAATGGGATTGAATAGGCAATTGATGCAGATTACAAACTTTGAAATGAGAACAAAAATATAGAAAATGTAATATTACTGGTAATAAAACACAGCTGAAGTCATTTGCATTGGTCTTTAAATGAAGACCCTAAAGCACCGATACAACACAGAGGAAGAGAAATGGTAAGTTATCTGGGAAGGAAAGCTATAGATACAGATCATGGTTAAGACAGACCCATGCCAGAGAACAAAGAGAATAAAGCAGAGTGAGAGAAAAAAGGGAAACAATCACTAATATTTACTTCCTTTCTGGGATGTCCTAAGCAGTGTAGCACTCATTAATCTCACATAGTGTCACCAAAGCAAGGACATGCCACACTGGGGAGGAGGCATGGTACCAATCATGGGAGATCGTTCAAGAGAACACACATCAAACATGCAGGTCTCCCCAAGACTCCCAGCGATCTCAGGCATGACTTCTTCCCCAGTGACACACTCAAGTAACAAGACTGACACTTTACCTACAGAGACGCCCCTGGAAGGTCTTTTGCATCAGGCTCAGTCCCTCTCACTCCAGCTGAGAAATCACATCTGGTTTGGAAAGGTGATGCCCTGCTCAGGAGGAAAGACACTAAACTTGTGTTTTTTGTTTTTTGGTGTTTTTTTTTTAACTTTCCAATAGCTTTATTTATTTATTTTTTTTCCTGTGAGTATAAAAGCCACTTCCAGCACAAGTCCTTATCCCTTCCCCTTCAGGGCTTCTGAATCAAAGGGAGGTGGGCTGCTGCATTTCCCATTCTCCAATTCTCTACAAAAAAAATACTTTTCACCTGGAAAGAGAGGACACCAAGCAGCTACCCTAAAACAATGCCCCACAGTACACAGGATTTCCAGTCTAAATGCATGAATCTCCCAGGTTGTATAAGAGGTCAATAGCGGTGGGGGAAGGCGAGGTACAGGGGGAAGTCCTTACCCAGCAAGAGCACACTCCTGTAGTTCTCCAGTGTCCTGTTCCCACACAACTTCCTCGGAGCACAGGCTAGAGGAATCCACTCTTCCCAGGTGAAATCCACACACATCCTTGAGTGTCGCTGACTCCTGAAACTATAAAGTCCTGCTCAATACAGGATTACGCGAACAAAACCCTCCCAGCAAGTAAAAACAAGCAGCCTCGGAAGGGACAGGATAGAGACCTGCGTGAGAAAAAACATGTCATTCTCCAAAAGAAACTAAACACCTGCAACATTATGAGGACAAAGAGAAAGTGCTCCTAAGGCACATAAGGACAAGGAGCAGAGGTACAAGCCATGGGGATGGCCCCGAGGCCACTCCAGTCACCACTGTCCTGACTGCCTCCCATCCACCCCATCCTCCCATGGGGTTCCCACCCTAGACAGCACAGGATGACTGAGCACGCATGCCTGGCCTGGGCAGAGGAGACTCCCAATAGCCCAAGAATAAAGATACTACACACCACAAAGATGCACTCAGGAGCCATGAACCAGCAGGGAGGTGGAAGGCAGGTTTGACAATGACAAGAGGGTGATGTGACCTTCGGTTACCAGGGGAAGACATGATTACTGGGATAATTTCATGAGTTGGGAGATGAAACCCATTAGGTTGAGGACTGGGAGAAGTGCCCCTGATAGGGCCAACAGACACTAGCTGGGTGGAGAGCCTTGCAGCTGGAAGGGGTGTATTCAGCAAGAGCAGGGGAACTTCTGGTAGGTCCCTGGAGCCCACTGAGGCTCAAAGATGCCAAGACAGCACATGGAACTGCAGGCCTTACAATAGAGGTGGGAATCCCATTTACTAGGGAAAAGCATGCAAACAGAACAAATCTTGACAGGCTGGTCTATGAGAGAACCAATAAAACCCAGCTTGACGTGAATGGCATTTCAGATTTACATGACCATTTCAACCTTGCTCTCTAGCCCTTAGGCTCGGAAATAAAACACCATCAGCATGCAGTATCTGTTTACCAAGTGTGATGGTTAATTTTAGGACCACTTGATGGGGCTATGGTGTGCCCAGGTAGCTGGTAAAGCAGTACTTGTGGCTGTTTCTGCGAGGAAATTCGGCTTCAAATGGGCAGCCTGAGGAAAGATGCTCAGTCCTCATCAGAGACAGTGGACCCAAAGAGGACAGAAAGATGGGGAAGGGTGAATTTTCTCTGCTTGTGTTGAGAAGGCCACATCTGCTGCCTCAGGCACCAGTGCCCCCAGTTCATGAATCTTTGGGCTCAGACCAGGACTTACACCATGGGTCCCTGGGACCACAGGCCTCCAGGTTTACAGTGGAACTACAGCACTGGCTCTCATGAGTCTGTGGACAGCAGATCATGGGGACTTTTCAGCCTCCGTAACTGCATGAGCCAACTCCTCATAACCTCTTTCCAATAGTCACACATGTGCTACAGGCTCTGTTTCTATGGAGAACCCTGACTAATACAAGGAGGAACAGGTCATTTTATAGATGAGAAATCTGGTCAAGGTTATATAACCTCTCCAAGGTCACATAGCTGGGACTTGAACCCAAGGCCACCTGACTTCCAGTGCTTGTAAGATGAGAAGGCGGCCAAGAGAAGAACGCTAGCACCCTCAGCAAGCAAGAGAGTGAGAGCCAGACCGGAAGGGAGATTGAGGATCCACAGGCAAGGAAAGAAAGTTTCAAGGAGAGGGAGTGGTCAACACTCTCAGATGCTGGAGTGGGTTGAACAGCATGACAACTTAAAGGAGAGCTGCTGACTTGAAAATGAGCTAATTGCAGCCGAGTGGTGAAGGCAGGAGTCCCCCTGTAGTGGATAAAAGAATAAATGGAAGGTTAGAAATCAGAAGCAGCCAGGCGTGAAAAAGAGAGGACAACAAGACTTCAGAAAATAAGTAATAGAAACAAAGTACTAGAAAAGGTTTTCATTTACTGACAGAGAATACTACAATATGTAAATGGGCAAAGGGGGAAAGTGCAGTGAGGAGAAAGAATGAGAGAAAGGAGAGATGGGATGAAACCAGTTCTGACCTGTGTAGCTTACGTCCTACTGGCTATGAACTCCAGGGACAATGTCAGCACTGAGGCACAAGTTTGTTATCTTTCTTACCACCTCATCTTTGAATATTTATTTACCACCTCTACAAATATCTTTGAATATTTATTTAAACAATAGATCAAAATAAAAAATGTTAAAAACCACTGACAAATATTATCAAGAAAAGTAAAGGTAGCTACTATAGTGGATATAAATACATGTCAGAATTTCCACTATAAGAAGGAAAAAAGAAACCAAGAAAAATCATCAGTTCAACAAATGTAAAGGAAGGAGGAGAAGGTGAGATGAAGAAAATCAGAGGGACTAAGCACTGCTAAGATTGTTACTTGAAATGCAGAGTGCAATCTCTCCTTTGCTCAAATAAACACCCTATTTGGTATCATAGCCTAAATGTATTTTGTTAACAAAAAGAAACAAGAAAGCACAATAACCAGAAACATTAAGTAAACACAAAAAAACCCTCATACACAAATGGGTTGGCTTTCCATAGTAGAAGACAAAAACTCTAAAATTGGTTGAAAATCCAGTTTATATGGCATGTGTAAGAGACAGATCTAAAACACAAACCAAAAAGCTAAAATAACAGGCGGGGGGCGGGGGTTAAGACAAGCTATAGCGGGCAACTGCAAATGAAAAATAGGCAGGGAGAACACAGAAGTAACAGATACGGCAGAATATATGTGGAAACAAAACAGGAACCCCTAGTTTGTGAGAAGATACAGATCAGAAACATGACATTCTCTCTCCAAAAATTAATCCACTTTTTTCAATCAACTGCCTTGTTAGCCAAATATAGCAGACAAGATTAAAAGCCCAAATTCGGACTCAAATGGACTGTCTTTCTCACTTCCCCAGACTCCCGTGACCCGAGTGCAGAGCCCTTAGAGGCCCTGCAGCTTGTCTCTTACCGACTATGACCTGTCCTGTGGGCCCATGCTGGCCATGGGCTCAAGAGCACTGATTTAGGGAAGCACAAAAAGGCATCTTAAAGGCTAAAGTGAAACCTGACAATACTGTTCAAAAAATATGTTGTTAATCCTTTATTGTTCATAAAATGTATCTGTTGTTGATCCACCAAGGCAGTTTTTCCTTTTCTCCTTTTCACTTGGTCTGGGTCATTTTATCCCAGCTCTACATGAAGCCCAGGTGACTTAAAAAAAAAAGCGGCTTCATGATTTTACCTCATCACATAACCTAAAAACACAGACCTTTGGAGAGTGTTATTCTTTAAAAAGGTGGAGTATCAAATGAAATAAACAGGGTACTTTAAATGATGAAAGCATAATTTATAAAGAAGATACAAGTGTGTGGTTTGAGGCACCATAGCAGCAAAATGTCTTCTGATAGAATTCTTAGCAATCTACTTTTTCTCTTTTTTTGCAAAATCCCAATCATGGTTAAATAACAATCACAATAGCAACAACAAAAAATGAACCATGGGGAAATACACTTAATAGGAATAGGTAAGATCCTTATGATCAAAGTTAATAGAAGCCATAATGAAGATCTCAGTAACATGAAGGATAAGTAGGAAGAATAAACATTGTAAAGATGGTACTCTTCCTCAAATTAACATAGATTTAATGGAGCACAAATCAAAACTGTATATTTTTGTTTTTAACTGTTACTTTTAGAACTTGATAAAGTTAATAAGGTTTGACAGTTAATAAAATTCAACAATAAGGATAAATGTGTAACAATAGTACAGTAAACAAAATTTTGAAGAGAAAAACAAAAGATTTGCTTTGTGGAATAAGAAAATGAATTCTAAACAAAGAGAATAGCCGTGGTACTATAGCAGAAACAAATGCTACTCCAGCTCGGCCCTCTGCCAAACTAACCGGTTCCCACCCACCATGTGACCCTTGACCACACCACCCTGCTGTGTGGCCAGTACAGCTTAACCATGACTTCAGTAAGGTCTCCTCTTCATTGCTGCCTCCCCCTTCCAGAAGATCTGGAAGAGAGGGGCCTCTCCTGGCTCATTCACTGCTATCTTCCCAGCATCCAAAACACTGCTGAGCAGGTGCTAGATATCTGTATAATGAAAGGGTGGAGGATGAATGCCTCACCTCACTAGGTTCAAGTTAGGTTCCAACCTCACATCATGTACAGTAAATTCCAGCAAGCAAAGATATAAGTGTAAAAAATAGGGAGAACACAGAAGTAACAGGAATACTGTTTAGTTTCCACATATATTGTGGAAACTGTTGTATTTTGGTTGTGTAAAACAAGGGCCTTGTTTTCAGGACACAGTGAAGTATTTGTTTTATCAAATACTTCAAATAGAAAGCATTGAAACATATTTATATGTAATCTTGGAGTGGAGAAAGACTTTCACACAAGATTCCAGAGCCAAAGAGAGAAAAAGGAAAGTTTAACTGAATGAAACTTCAAACCTTATTTATAACAGAAGATGTCATAAACAAATTTAAAAGAAAAGTGACAAGGAACAATACTGGCAATTTATGGCAAAGGATTAATACCCATATTATTGAAAAGGCTTTTTTTTTTACATATAAAAAACGCAATACAAAAATGGGCAAAAGATGTAAGAAAGGTATTTAAAAGAAGTAGAAAAATGTACATCCACAGTTATTTATAGGATTTGAGGCTTAGAAGTATATTTTATAGCTTTAAAAGTATTTTTACAACTATATGCCCAATATTTACAGTCAGAAAAAGATGATATTTGCTCTGGCCAGTGCGACTCAGTTGGAGCAACATCTGGTAGACCTAAAGGTCACGGACTGGATCCCCTGTCTGGGCACATATGAGCAGGCAACTAATCACCTTTTCTCACTCTCTCCCTTTCTCTAAAAGCAATGAAAACATGTTCTCAGGTGAGAAATACATATATAACTAATAGGCAAATACTTGAAGAATTCATAGTCACATCACCAGTTAATAAATAGGAGGAAAGATGAGGAAAGGAAAGCAGCTCTAATGTTGCACCACTGCATCCCAGATCAATCACTGTGCTCTTCAAAAGTGTTTAGGTGCCCTGGCTGGGTGGCTCAGTTGGTTGGAGCACTGCCCCATACACCAAAAAGGCCACGGGTCTGATCCCCAGTCAGGGCACATACCTAGGATGCGGGTTTGATCCTGGTCATGGCACATACAGGAAGCAACCAATGAATGTTTCCTTCTGTCTCTCTCTAAAATCAATAAACAAACACAACCTCTGGTGAGGATTACAAAAAAAAAGTGTTAAAGTCACCAACGACAAAGACTGAGGAACTACTCCAGATTGAGGGAGACTAAGGAGATAGGACAGCTAAATGTCAGTTGTGATCAGGATTAGACCCTAACTAGAAAAAGGATGTTTGGGGCAAAATATGAGTAAGACTCATAGATTAGGTAACAGTACTGTATCATGGTAAGTTTCATCCTTCTGGTCATTGTATTTTGGTTGTGTAAAACAAGGGCCTTGTTTTCAGGGCACAGTGAAGTATTGGGAAATCAAACCAGTGGCTGCCTGATTGGGGGGCATGGACTGGAAGGGGCTGAGCACTCTTTCTGGGGTAATGAAAATGTTCCACAGCTCCACAGGCAGGGTACATATATCTGTCAAAACTCAATTAAGTATAAGCTCTAAATGGGTTATTTTATACAAATTATACTTGAAATAAAGCAGATTTTAAAACTGCATTAACACTATTTTAACTAAATAAAATAAAACCAAGGCTAGTGACAATGAAACTACAACCCTTCATCAACCAAAATCTTCTGAAGGCTCCCCCCCTTCTAGAAACTTCCTTTCTCTAACACCTATTTTTGTAAGTTATGTTGCCTTTTATAACTGAGCTTGATGATATTGGGGAGAGAAAGTAATACAAACAGAAATCATATCAGTTAATACTTGTCTTTGAGAAGCCTTCTTAAAACCGGCTCCTGCAGTGAATAAACAAGCGGCACATGTAAGAGAAGCCTCACGCATGATCTCACGAGTACAAAGACCACAGTCCCTTAGGACTACAGACACAGTGAAGACAGCCTAACCTTAAAAAAAAAAAAAACATTAAATAAAACGTAGGATCTCCTGGGCCAAGACCCCTTGATGCCTGAGTTGCCTTTGTAGAGAAGCAATAACTCCAGGTTCTAGTAAAAACTAGCAGTTCTAGCAGTTTTTATTTTAAAGCAATCAGGGCAAAACAGCTGAATGCTGTTCTCCTCACTCACTGTCTTTGCTCCATGATTTCCTTCAGTGAATGGATACCACTTCTCCCTGGAAAGTTCTATGCCAACTCCCTTATCAAAACTCCTGCCACTCCATGCCGACTACCTCACTGACACACAAATTCCTCCTTCCTGGCACTTGACCCCAAACTGTGCATTTGACTCTTCACTACCAGTCAAGGCTACGTTCCACTCCACCTGTAAACTTTAAACACCGAGCTCTTGGCTGCAGTGGTGCTAAGAGTGCCTCCACCCATCTATTGCTTCAACATCCTAGGAACCATGCTGGGAACTTTTCACTTATGTTACTTCATTTGAACTTTCAAAAAATGTATGAAGTAGGTATTAGTGAATGGAATATGCCATGTGAAATTCTTACCAATGTCAAACATATAGCAAATACTCAGTTAATGTTATTTTTATCATCACCATGAGGTACAAATGCTTCAGGGAACTCAAGTCACTTGCCCAAGAAAATGCAGTTATTAAATGGTAAAGTCAGGATTGAAACTTGGGCCATTGTGACTGCATTACAGCATATCCTCTCCTGTTACCCTTTCTTAACCCTAGGACCTCTCCACACTGGTCTTCTCCTTCCCCAGGTCTTGGAACACTGTCCTTTGGAACACTGTCCCTGTCAGTGTTGGCACAGGTACCAACCACACCTGTCCTTACGATCAGATTCACATGCAGTCACCACGACTGCACCTGACAGACATGTAACTTGTGTTCCCAGAGAAGCCCTACCCCTACAAGTACCAGGACCATCTCTCAAACAATGTTTGTTCCTTATCTGACACTTGAACAGCAACCAAGAGCTCAACTGACCAGCTGAATGAGGAAGTGACAGCTGAAAACAAAGCTGAGAGAAACTGAGGGGAGCTTTGTGAAAAATAGCCCACACTGAGAGATTGAAACAGCCCTGTCTTGCAGCACAGCCCTCCTGCAGTACAGAGGTAAGAAATGAGGGAGAGGTCAGAGACTGAAAAACGAACTCACCTGAGCCCCCCATGGTAGCAGCCCAGCAGCCATTGCCTTCTCCTTCCTTCCTGTGGGGTCCTTCCTAAGGGATGGGCAGGAAGAGAAGGCAGAGCTGACAAAAGGAAAAGCCATGAGAAAGGAGACTTCCTCAACATCCAAAATAAAATATCTACAGATAAAGCAAATAACATGTGTACATGATCTACATAAACAAAGGTATGATTTTTCTTTAGTAAGCTGTTTTTACTAAGCTTATTTGGTGCATATGTATCTCCACAGCAAGAGACATACAAATTATACCAAACTAATAATATTTTAAAGTTAATTATGAAAAAGATGATTTTTTAAAGTTGTGTTGCATAACAACAGCCAGAAAATTTCTGAAAGGGAAGAGTGGTGAACAAGAACTTGCCCATCAGATATTATGAAGCTACTATAATGAGAGCACATTGTTACTGAATGGTAGAATCACTCATTCACCAGATATTGTTGACCACCTACTATGTATCAGGCACCTGTTCAAATTAACAAACTGATGTGCAATCATTGTGACTACCTGACAGAGATGTGACTTCTGTTCCCTGAGAGACCCTGGCCCTGCAACTACCTGTGTGTGGGAAGGGGTGAACACAGCTGCAAACAGATACGACCCAGGAGAGTAGAGGGTAATCTCTCTACCTTCATGGATGTTAATGTCTAAAAGGGAAAAAGAGTCCAAGGAATGAGTTAATATCCTGCCAACACAAATAGTTCAGAAAAAAATTATATATTAGAATTCAGGACATTAAAAATGTGAATTTCACATCAGTGAAGAAAGATGAATTATCTAACAACTTGGCACAGGGCTTACCATTTGGAAAAGAATAATTTGCACATAAAATGCAACTAAAGAACTAGAAGAAAATACAGTTGAGCATTTCTGTGATCATCATAATAGACTAAAAGTCATAATGATGCAAAAGGCCCAAACATGAAGGCAAGGTTTTTATGTCTGACCATATAAAAATTTGACATTTCTGCATAGTAAACAAACACACCCGTGTATCAGATGAACACATTTAAAACAAAATGCAAACAGCATAAAAATATTCACTAGTATTCAAAATGCATATCTGAACAACCCTATCACTTGCACTTCTCAGAAAGTTAGAAAATAGTAAGTAAACCAGTAAATCAGGCATGACTATATTGCAAATTTTATAAACTACTACCTTTCTAGATGGAATACAAGAGGTATCAAAAGCCTTATAGTAGAACCCAGAAATTTCACTTGAAGAGATTTATAAAATGAGACAAGAATGCAAAGATACATGTAGCCAAGTGGCCTATATTGTTCATAATACTGAGAACAAATCAGAACAAAACCTGAGAAAGAACACAAACGCCTAAGAAATGATTAAATATGGCAGACACATACTTTTCCTCACACTCATTAAAATTACAACTTAGCAATTTTTAGAAATTGGTATAAGCAGATATTTTCAAAATATTGTTTTTAAGGTTTATCCTCCATGTTGACTTAGTGTTAACTTACATGGATAAGAACATTTATTTTTTTAAACCACAAAGCTTAAAACTTGTGCATTTTAAATCCCTTACCAAATGTATTTCATAACTCAATTTTAAAAACAAGTGGACAAAAGAGTACATTCATACACATATACACTCCGACATGAAAATAATTTTTCCTTTTTGTCCACTGGATTTTCTAGTTCTGTAGTGAATTTTTGTTGTTGTTGTTGTAAGAAAGGAAAAAAATGCTTTCAAGAAATTAGAAGGAAAAGGAAAGGATTCCCAGAGTCCGAGAACCCGCACAGGGTCGGCCTCCCATTCCGACGGAGAAATGAGTCAAGGCGAGCTCGCGTCGCGCCCCTCGGAATCGGAAATCCACGGCACGCACTGAAGTGCGGTTTATACAAAGAGCAAGGACCTGAGTCTGGAGCCCGGCACAGGGCCAGGATCCCCGACTGCCAAGCACGTACCGGCGAAAGCCCACGGCGGGAGGAACCCAGGGTCCCTCACTGCCGCACGGATCCGGGCCTCCGCGCCAGAATCGCCCTCGCAGCTCCAGAAGCAAGTGGTGAAAGGACCGCGTCCGGCGGCCCTCGGGTCTCGGTGCCAGGAGTAGGCGGTCGGGAGCTGCGCACTACTCCGCAGAACGCGGCCCTAGCCCCTGCACAGCCCGCAGGCCGTCAGGGCTGGTCCGGCCCCGGCCTCGGCATGCTCGCCACTCTGCCAGCACCAATGCGCCCACCCCCAGCCCCGCACTCACTTTCACCCAGCACCAAGCACCAGCTGGAGGAGCCAATGCTGACCCCACCCCGTCCGCCACCTCTCCGAGACTGTAGACTACATTTCCCACAAGGCTGCAGGGCCTTAGCGAAAGTGCTGGAGCCCCCAACGGGTGTAAGCAAGCGCTTGGGTGCGCAAGCGCAGATCTGAACAGAGCGATGTCGCGCTGGTGCCCGAGTGGGTTTAAGGAGGGACAGTGGGGGGGGATTCCAGCAGCTCAAAAGGGGAGTGGACGGCGTTGGCTCCGAGAACGGGTCCGTGGATGTAGCGTTACGGCCCATCAATCCGGAAAGATCTGTGCCGAGACCTTACGTGGACTTACCCTAAAGAAGCCCCTCCTTAGTACCTCCAGATGCCTCATCCGCGGGGAGAGAAGGAGCTAACAGCCTTTGCTGAGCGTCACTTTCCTCTTCTGCAATAGAGGGAACGCTGAAGAGTCCTTTGCAGTTATCAAAAGGAGTAGAAAAAGTAGAAGTATCTGGGGTTCCTAGTGTGCACTCCATGAATAGTGGTTACAGTGCCCGTTTCCTTAGTTCCGTGTCAGGTGGTAAGAGCTTCAGAATTATCACCATATAGAATGAGGACAAAATCTCTAATTAAATATGTGGCCAGAGTTGGTACATCCAGCCAGTTCTGCTGCTGAAACTTGAAGTACACTCCTTGTGGGGCAGATCAGTATAGTAGCCGAGAGTGTAATATTTGGTTTTCCAAAAATCATGCTGGTTTCCTCTGCGGGTTTCTATTGCTGTGACAAAGATTTAACCCTTGACCAAACTTTAGACAGATTTCTCTGAGCCCTCTTTTCTACTAGGCCTGGGCCCTGAGCCCTGTTCTTGGCCAGTTTTAGCAAGAACCTTACTAAATCAGTTTAGTAGAATCCCTGTTCTTCATATTCAATTCCTAATCCCCTATTCTTGATGTCTAAGTCCTTGATCTACCTATAACAATCCTGTCAGATCAGTTTAGCAAGAATCCCCCAAACTTGCTGTATACTTCTGGTAATTTTCGATCCACTGCCCCTCTTAACCTCCTTGGTTGCTATTACTCCCCAGCTGTCTTTGCTGTACTGGGAGTTGAGCTTGGTTTTACTGAAGCCTCTCTTCCTTATTGCAATAGTACTAAATAAAATATGTTATTATCGTTTTTAACTAGTGCCCAACTCTTAAACTATTTCAAAATACTGGAAAATATGAAAGTCTTCACAATTCATTTAATCAAGCTAAGTAACCCAAATAGCACCAAACTAAGTAAAAAATATATCACTGTACTAACACAAATAACTTTGAACCAAACAGTTACTCTTGGATTACAAAGACATTCTAACAATAGAAATTACAGGAACAGGAGACCCAAAATGGCAGAGGAGTAAATGGAAGCTACACCTAACCTTCTCCCAGGACCAGTCACCTCTGCCAATAGGAGCCCAAGAGGCTCCTAACACAAAGCCTGCAGGCAAAGGCAAATTTGTGGGACCTCTGAGACATTAATTGACCCTCTCCCTAGCCCAGTGCTGGCAAAAGCCAGCCTTGGAGCACAGCCTGGTTCTTTCTGCACACACACAGGCCCAGCAAAAGAAGCCACAAGCTGTGGATCATTACTGACAGCTCCAAACAGGTAACAGAGCCAGTCACAGGCAGTGTCTAACATCGATCTGCATAAGAGTCTTTGCAGATCAACCTAATACATAGGAACAAACTCAAAAAGGCAGCCAAAATGGGAAAACAAACAGACCCCAAATGGAAGAACTAAATGAATTGAAGGCAAGCAATTTATCAGAGATAGAATTTAAAATAATGATTATAAGGATGTTCAAAAGCATGAGAAAAGACATAGAAATCATAAGAAAGGACCAGTCAGAAATAAAGAATGCAATATCTGAAATAAATAATGCACTGGAAGAAATAAACAGTAGGTTCAAAGAAACACAGGATTAAAATAGTGATTTAAAAGACAAGGTGAAAAAAACTAAGCAGAGCACCAAAAAAACCTTTTTTTAATGAGGATAATTTAAGGGACCTTTAGGACAACATGAAGCATAACAACTTCCACATCACAGGGATATGAGAAGGAAAGGAAAGGAAGGAAGGAATCAAGAACCTACTTGAAGAAATTATTGAAAACTTCCCTAGCCCAGTGAAGGAAAAAGATACAAGAGTCTAGAAAGCACAGACAGCCCCAAGCAAGATGGACCCAAAGAGGCCCACAACAAGGTACATCATAATTAAAATGGGAAATCCTAAACACAAGGGGAGAATCTTAAAACCTACAAGAGAAAAGCAGCTAGTTACCTATAAGAAAGCTTCCGTAAGACTGTCATCTGATTTCTCAAGAGAAACATTTCAGACCAGTAGTGACTGGCACAAAATATTCAAGGAGATGAAAGCAAGAACCTCCAACTAAGGCTTCTTTACCCAGCAAGGCTATCATTTAAAATTGAAGGAGAAATAAAGAGCTTTCCAGACAAGAAAAACTAATGGAGTTTGTTACCACCAAATCAATATTGAAACAACTATTTGAAGGGGAAGGAGAAAAAGAAAGAAAAGAAAAATCCCAGAGGAAAATAGTTAAAAATAAAATTACAATAAATATGTATCTGTCGGTAATCACTTTAAATGTAAATGGTTTAAATGCATCAATCAAAAGACATAAGGTAGCTGAATCAATAAGAAAACAGGACCCATATATATGTTGTCTCCAAGAGACCCACCTCAAAATGAAAGATATACACAAACTAAAAGTAAAAGGATGGAAAAACATATTTCATACAAATTGAAAGAAAAGGGCTGGGGTAGCAATGCTTATATTGAATAAAATAGACTTTAAAACAATAGCTATAGTAAAAAACAAAGAAGAACACCACATAAAGGGAACAACCCAAAGAGAGGTTATAACCCTAGTAAACTTTTATGCATCCAACATAGAAGCACCTAAATATGTAAAGCAAATCTTGATAGACATAAAGGAAGAGGTTGAAAGAAATACAGTCACAGTAGGGGATTTTAACACCCCATTGACTTCAGCGGATAGATCTTCCAGACAGAAAGTCAACAAGGAGTCAGTGACCTTAAATGACACACTAGTTCAAATGGATCAAATTGGTATCTTCAGAGCATTTCACCCCAAAGCAGCAGAATATACATATTTTTCAAGTACACATGGAACCTTTTCTAGTATAGACCACATGTTAGGACACAAAACAAGTCACAGATTTAAGAAGATTTAAATCATAGTATCTTCTCTGACCATAATTCTATAAAACTAAAAATCAATCACAAGAAGAAAACTGAAACAAATACATGGGAGGTAAATAATTATTGTTATTAAACGTTAGTATTAAATGTTAATAATAAATATAAATAATTAAATATTGATATTTATATTAAATATAGTTAAAGTTAATTAAAGTTAAATGTTATTAGACAATGAATGAGTCAACAATGAGGTCAATGAAGAAATCAAAAGATACCTTGAAACAAGTGAAAATGAGAACACAACAACCAAAAATCTATGGGACACAGGGAAAGCAGCCTTAAGAAGGGAGTTCATAGCATTACAGGCCTATCTCAAGAAACTAGAAAAACTCAAATAAAATATATAACTTTACACTTAAAGGAACCAAAAAAAAATAACAGCAAGGAAGCCCAAAAAGAGTAACACGAAGGAAACAATAAAGATCAGAGCAGAAATAAATGAAATAGAGTCTTAAAAAATAATAAAAAGAGAAGCTGAGAACAGAAACTTGGAACGAGTATGTCACGCTTTCACTGGAGATGGTCCTTGAAGAAGTGTTCCTTTCCTGTCGAGGGGCATGTGGATTTGGTTCACGAATCTCTGAGACCTGAAAGTTGACCACTTCTTCACATGTGGAGGACTGCACTGTCAGCCTGCCAGCTATAACCATGCCACAAAATGAGTATATTTAGTTACACTGTAAGCACCATGGATGTCATTTGGATTACCATGAGAAAAAGAGAAAAAAGGAAGGTCAAGAGGCTCATGAACATTCAAAGAAAGAAAAAAAAGATGACTGGTCTAAAGGCTAAGGTCTACCATAAACAGCACCGTGCTGCAAAAATGAAGACTATCAAGATGCATGAAAAGAGAAACACCAAACAAAAGAATGATGAAAAGAATGCTCAAGGAGTAGTACCTGCCTACCTACTGGACAGAGAGGGACAGTCCTGAGCTAAAGTACTTTCCAATATGATTAAACAAAACGAAAAGAGAAAGCGGGAAAATGGGAAGTTCCTCTGCCCAAAGTTTGTGCCCAGGGAGAAACAGGGGTATTAAAAGTTATTCAAACAGGAAACAGAGAGAAAAAAAGCAAGGAAAAGGATGGTTACTAAAGTCTGCTTTGTTGGAGATGGCTTTACTCAAAAACCACCTAAATATGAAAAATTCATTAGACCAATTGGCTTATGTTTCAAGAAGGCCCATGTAACACATCCTGAACCGAAAGCCACCTTTTGCCTGCCAGTATTTGGTGTAAAGAAGAATCCCTCATCCCCTCTTTATACAACTTTGGGAGTTATTAGCAAACATACTGTCACCAAGGTGAATGTAAGCAAGTTAGGCCTTGTGACCCAGGGAGGCAAGGTTATTTGGGGAGAATATGCCCAGGTTACCAATAATATTGAAAATAATAAATGTATAAATGCAGTCTTACTGGTTTGACAGCAGTTTTGTACAAGTAACTCCCTGTAATTATTGAAGACTGTGCACCAATCAGGAAAAGCTGACTGTGATGTTTCTGCATACTACAATTATTACAATGGTTTATATGTCTGCAGCAATTAAGAGAACTATTTTATTGTAAGGAACATTAATATGGCCCAGTTTTACAAATTGGAAAAAACAATAAAAAGGACCAAAGAATCCAAGAGCTGGCTCTTTCAAAAAATAGGCAACATTGACAAAAATTTTAACCAGAATCAATAAGGAAAAAAAGGACCCAAATAAATAAAAACCAGAAATGAATGAGATGGAACAAATGTCACCATAGAAACACCAAAGATTGTAAGAAAATATTATGAA